ACAACATGGCGTCCATCTGACGTTATAACACACAACATGGCGTCCATCTGACGTTATAACACACAACATGGCGTCCATCTGACGTTATAACACACAACATGGCGTCCATCTGACGTTATAACACACAACATGGCGTCCATCTGACGTTATAACACACAACATGGCGTTCACCTGATGTTATAACACACAACATGAAGAACCAGGAAACAGATTAATCTTACCTTAAACACCTTCAATGATGCGAGACAGGTTTTGAGGAGCGTCTGTTGGTGGGTGTGTCTGAGCTGTCAGCCAATCAGCAGTGAGTTTATAGTTTCTGTTTACTTGTTCAGTTTCTGTTGTTTATGCTGCTTTTTCTTCATCATGTGTAAACATGTGTTTCCCATGGTGCCACCGACGCCTCTCTGACATGAATCAAACCCACCAGACTAAACGATGCCGTGTCTCTGACACAACAGGAAGTCCAACCTCCACACTTCCTGTTCAGTTTGTCTGAGTCTGATTTCATCTTCATTAATAACCTGCTGTCAGATAGGGGGCGGGGTCAGAGTGGGAGGAGTCTCACCTGTGTCAGCAGGTCAGGAGGATCCTGATCCACCTGAACCAGTCCTGTTCAGTCCCGGTCCAGGTACAGATGGACTGGTTCAGGTCCAGGGGGACTGGTTCAGGTTCAGAGGGACTGGTCCAGGTACAGGGGGACTGGTTCAGGTCCAGAGGGACTGGGACCAGTACGAGCCGTCCTCACAGAGCTCACCTGTCCTACAGAGACCTTTCACTGTGATCAAACACACCTGTGCAGTGATGACGCTGCTGATACGTCACACCTGTCAGGTGGAGGGAGACAGCAAGTGCTCATTAACATCAAAATCTAATCAGAGCTCTTCAGTTTGAACTCGTGCTCTTATTGTGAAGGCCGGACCGGAAACAGAGTGTCTCCTGGTGTTGGATTTGACTGTCTCTCAGTCTCAGTGTGAGTGAGGCGGACCGGACGGAGCAGACCGGAGCACGGAGCCGCTGCTGGCCGACAGACAGCTGCTGAGCGCCGCGGAGCTCCGGAGCAGAGAGCCGGAGGTGCTGCAGGACCGGGTTCTCCTGTGATCCGGATCAGTCCCCTGGACCAGAGGACACTTCACAGTCCGTGTTTGAGTTCTGTCAACTTGTGGAATTAAAGGAGGAGACAGGGAGCAGGAACCAGGATCGGGACCAGGACCGAGTCTGGATTAATGTCCGTGCTCCGTGTGCCGTGATCCCATGGAGGGAAAGGACAAGCCGAGACCGAGTCCGGATTATCTGATGCAACTGATGAACGACAAGAAGCTGATGAACAGTTTACCGAACTTCACCGGGATCTTCCAGCACCTGGAGAGACTGCTGGACCAGGGTGAGAGACCTGTCTGTCTGTCCCCCTGTCTATCTGTCTGTCTGTCTCACTGTCCCCCTGTCTGTCTGATCTCTCATGGTAGAAGGCAAATCAGCAGTAAAAACACTTTGACGATCGACCAAATCGATCAGTTGATTAATCGAGCAATAATAATAATGATGAAAAAAATATGGATTTATTTGATTTGAATTATTCAAACAATAAAAACAATCTGGTAAAATATTATCTTTTCTTCACAGTAAATTTACATAAATCAATGATATTAATATGAATATTAGTGACGTCACATTGTTTCAGTGTTTCTGACATTTTATTAAATCAATAATTAACAGAGAAAATAATCAGTAGATTAACTGATGATAATAGATCACTGTATTAAAAACATTTATTCTGCAGAATGTTTAAAGTACGAATATTTTCAGTGTTGATTAACTTTATTATTTTATTCAATAACTGATTAATCTTTCATTTCTTAAATGTCAAAGAATAAAAAAAACAACAACTTTTTCTTTGACAGAATATTTGATTATTTTCTGTCAGTCGATGAATCAGTTTATCTCTGATCTCAGTCTGATGATTTCTGATCAGTGTGAGCTTTAACTGCCATAAATATTATTTATGTCATTATTTGATAGGTTTTGTTTGCATATATTATTTAAATGATTTATTTTCCTGAATTTCGATTTTGGTTTGTATCAGGGCTGCAGAGGTACTGGTTGTGTATTGTGTGGCGCAGGGACGCTTTTGGGTGTTGCACATGATGTTTACATAAGGTGCAGAGCAGGTACAGAGATGCTGCGGTTGTTCTCCTCCAAGAAGGAGTTGAGAGCGGAGAAAGTTAAGAGTTTAAGGTAACATTTCATCATCGGACAAAAGAAGAAGCAGTAATTTTATTGCCATTTTTTGAAGTTTTTATTTTTATATTTTGCTGAAGTGGACTCATTCCCTCTCGGTTGTGTGCAGCCAGCGAGGTATGTTTCATTTTGGGATTTACTGTGTTCATTGTGCATTTTTACTGTCATGTTTCTACAGCGTGTAAGTAATATTAATATGTTGTCATTCTTTAAATTGTCATATATTTGAACAGTTTGACGGTGGATTTGATGACGGTGATGAAGGGCGGAGAAATGAGAATAAATCCATCAGTATCTGAAACCCAATGGTGTCGTCTAATTCCTGGAGGGAATGATAGTGAGCAGCAGGTTTATTCATTCACTAATTTTAAATCAATAAAGATTTCATCTGTAAAAACTTTAATTTTATAAAACATTTATATCTCGAAGTTAATACTTTTATTTTTCAGAGGAACGTTTGTGATCAGTTTCTCTGAAGTGAAAAAGTTTAAAGTTTAAATTCAATGTCTTTATAAATAATATATTTATATTTACAGAACTCGTCTGTAACGTCACTGAAAACCCAAACTTTTATTTTATCTGTGAAACATTTAATACAAATACAAATTAATCTGTGAAACCTCGTTAAAACCAGACACGACTCCATCTGATGTTTTATTTGATTAGTTCTTTCTTAATTCACAAAATAATTAAAACCAAAAATCATTAAACTCTGAGGTCACCTGACCCACAGGAAACAGGAAGAGGGTGGAGTCAGAAACACCTGCGGCTCATAGAGACGGAGAAGAAGAAGTAGGAGTAGAGGAGGAAGATGAAGAAGAAAGTCCTCAGTTTGCTTAATGAAGTTCTGTCGGTCTGTTTCCTTCATCTTCATCTTTTTCACCTCTTATTTCTCCATCTGTCTCAGTTACACTGAGTGCAGCTTTTCATCATTGCATTCATCCAGTCAATTCATTCAGAGGCTAAAATGTGTGTGTGTGTGTGTGTGTGTGTGTGTGTCTGTCTTGAAATTGAAAAGCATCAGCCATCATCTCCAAGGTCTGTCATTCCTGTTTTGACTAGCATCAGGAAAAACAATGTGTACTCGAAGTGCACAGCTACTCTATCTAATCTGACTCCAGTTATGCGTCAGCCACAGACTGTGTCAGACAATGTTAGTACACTAAACTTAGCTTTATTAAATGTCAGATCTCTGGCTGGCAAGTCACTATTAATTAATGATTTTATTATCAAGAGAAACCTTGTTTTTATGTTTTTAACTGAAACTTGGTTAAATGAAAAAAACAATGCAGCAGTACTTATTGAATCAGCCCCCCCAAAATTCCATTTTATCAGCTCAGTTAGAGAACTTAGGAAAGGAGGTGGAGTAGCCACTTTATTTAAGGATGTTTACCAGTGCAAACAGCTGTCATATGGGAAGTTTGAGTTTTTTGAATATGTTGCACTGCAATTCAATTCAGTTCAATTTTATTTATAAAGCCCAATATCACAAATTACAATTTGCCTCACAGGGCTTTACAGTATATGACATCCCTCTGTCCTTATGACCCTCACAGCTGATCAGGAAAAACTCCCCAAAAAACCCTTCAACGGGGAAAAAAAACGGTAGAAACCTCAGGAAGAGCAACTGAGGAGGGATCCCTCTTCCAGGACGGACAGACGTGCAATAGATGTCGTACAGAACAGATCAGCATAATAAATTAACAGTAATCCGTATGACACAATGAGACAGAGAGAGAGAGAGA